TGAAGTAGGACTAAACAAATCATTGCCTTGAAGTCCATCTTTAAAATCTACGGTGAGAATATTTAATCAAATTTATAATTCATGSTTATTAGGCCAATAGAATGAGCCTATTTGGCCACATGCATAGACCTTTATATAAAGAATACTATTAAGGATTCCCTTTATCAGATATAAAGACCCATGACTCTCTAGAAAAGGTGTCAGGTTTGATAAATCACCCTTGATCAATGCAGTATGTCAACCGTTTGCTTTGCCAACAGGAATCTGGTTTTACTTCATGCGTATTTAATTTGGGATCATGACAAAGTGCTTTATTAATCGTTTCGCGCATGATCAGTTTGCCCCATTTGTTTCAAAAAACTTATTTTTGCGATTATTTTTTCCAAGAATCCTAAAGGGTTTGAGTTTCATATTAGTGTTTGAGTTTTTGAAGCCGTTCAATAAACTCACGAGTCGTGTTTTATCGGGTATAAAGATCTCGGCTTCGGCTCGAATCATGCCCGATAAAACACGAATTGSTAGATTACTTGAACGGTACATAAAACTATCGAATATGATTGAATAACCTTTATTGAACATAGTTTCAAAATATTCGAATGCCATACGAACTGTTTCAGCGAAAAATATAACCGAAAATCATAATACAATACCAATCGGATGCCCTCAATATAATGATATATGTTAGTGGTCTGGATTTTTGCAAATGCATGATTGTATATGTTTCATATGTATTTGTAACTAAACTAAAGTACTTAAAAAACAATTGATGTCAAAACTAACTTAAATCAATAGCGCTACAAAATTATAATCATATCCCCGCCTGTGTAAATTTGTTTGCCCTTTTACAGTTAAACTAATGGATCCAAAGCAAGAACTASTAAATTTGATTACCGAGGATTTTTTGCTTAGTGCATGTTTGAACACTTTGTCTAGCTGTTTTCAGTTTTGGAATTTAAGAAGTTTTTTTGGAAGTTTATTGGAATTTAAAGCTATATTGATAACTTTTTTTAATTGAAAATGACCCGGCGAGTTAAATTGTGAAAAAGAGCGAAGCTTTCTTCATCTGGGATTCAGGTCCTGATAAAAAAATATCGCCGATGTAGTCTGTGATATGCAAAATACAACCCTCGCGCGAGCCAATCAGATTGCACTAAAGTAAACATTCATACAATATATACCATTACATTTCCGATGCATTAGAATATGTCTAAGAAAGAGCATATAAGAGATATATCATGTTTTTAGCCATAACCGAAACAAAAGTCTCAGTATTGCAGAAATCAGTGGGAATGACAAACAGAAATATCAAAAGTTGCTTTCATAGTCCTACGTATTTTCATATGTTTGATACCTGCAAGATAAGCTAATACCTTTCTCCTCCTATGAACAGGAAGTATATATATCTTATGTCTTGCGCTTTTTGCCGTGAATTAGCTGTTTGAATACATTTGTACTGTATACAAAACCAATGGCCAATCAAAACAAACATTTCATGAGCATGTGAATCAATGCATTCTTTAAGTATTAAAAGCCTGTATCGGCATAAGCTCGTATTACTGCATAAGACTTTAAAGTTCTTCGACTCCAATAAACAACAAATATTTATTAAAYCCTTTTCATAGCCCATGATCGCCTATGGAAACTAAATATTAGTTTTAGAACACTAACACCATCGTGGGAAAAACTCTTAAAGCAATGAAAATCTCCCGGGGGGGGGGGGGGGGCGTACTCCCATATATTTGCTATACGGGGACGTGCCGCTGGCCAGGGTATGGTTTTTGGCCTTGCTGTCTTAAACAGGGTATACATTTCACCCGAAATTGTCTTAAACAGGCTCTACAATTTATATAAAAGACCGATATAAATTTTTGTGTGTCTTGGACAGGGTAATATTTTCATAAGAAATACCGTAGAATTAGTAGAAATACCGTTTCACTGTAGCAGGATTAACGTGTTATCAAAAACTTCTTATTGTCTTTGATGGATGTCAGTATAATTGCAGTTTTTATCGTTGCGGCGTAGATAGCTATTCCTTATTTTTCCGATTTGTCTTGAACAGGGTATGGATTTTTACTTCCTAG